TAGAAAGACAAAGCCTTTTTGCGTTTGTATTGGCTTGAACATCTGGATTCTATTTGCATCTCTCTTAGCCCACAGCCAGAAATGCAGAGAAAAGAATTGGGTTGGAGCAGAGGTGGGATGCTTTCAGGCATGATATTCATATCTGGGGCTGCCTTGAAAGAGAAGGAGCAGCCGTATGTGATGTTAGAGGCAGGAAGGTACAGGAAGAAAACCTTGAGAAATGAGCTGAGAAGGAACTTTGTGCCTGGGAGCTGTCAGTTTCTGAAGGCCTGCAGGTGCAAAGGAAATCTTCTGCTTTCCATCTATAGCAGTACAAGTCTCACAGCATTTCTAAACACTTTTAGGGGAGCTATGAAACATCACCCATGAGTTCAGAGAGCTCGCTGTGATCGCTCCAACCCACAGCACTAACCCCTTCTGAAGCATCTTGCAGCCACTAGCTCAAGAGGATTAGACCACCACCAAAATTGTCTCATGAAGAGAAAAAGCATGTTCCCAGCTGCAACACAGATGCTAGAAGGGCAGAAAACCACCCCACTTCCCAAGCACGGTGCAGCCCCGGAGGCAAAGAGGTACCGTAGGATGCTGGTGGCTCCCAACCCTTGGTGAGATCCCTCTTTGGGTGGGAATCCCACCTATTAACACCTGCAGAAGAGCCGTTTTCCCCCGTTTCCCAGGTCCTCCGAGAGCTCCCCATCCTCAGCCCCTCTGCTTCCCCTAAGCTGGGGCTGAGCTGCCCCTTACCTGGGGTTCCTCCGGTCGCAGGCTCCCAGCGGGTGCGAGTCGGGGACAGTGCGGGTTTGGTGCAGCCACATCTGCTTTTTGCTGCTTCCCCCAGCCCAGCCTTCGGCAGGCTTCAGGTTACAGCTTCCCGGGGCTCTCTTAAAGTGCTCTGTTCCCATTTTCCACTGCTGCCACCCTCGCACTGAATTGCACTGATTTTTTAGCGCTGCCTTCCAAATTCAGTGTGATAAGAGCAGTCTGGTGGGTAAAGCACAGGTTAGAGATGTGAACGATCCCTGTGTTGTTTGAGCAGGTCTGTTATCCCCATAGTGTTGAGGGGATTTCTCCTGCCTCAGAGGTATGGTTAATGCAGCAACATTTAGTAGATTTATGGATTTATATCTATGATTTAAGGGAGAGACTTGTAAAGTAGAAGCAGGAATTCTGTTGCTGTTTAAAGCAGTTAAAGGGAGGACGTTCAGAAGTGGTTCTATCCAGTGATAGTTACTGGTTAACAAGAAGCTATTAACATAACTGGCTTAGAGTTTGGGGCTGAAAAGAAACGCTAAAAAGCCTTGGTGAATTAAGACTGTTGGAGCTTAAAGAATGATAAATGATCTGGAGAAGGGAATGGGGCAGAGGGGTTTTACTATATTTTGCAATAGAAGGCTCTAGGGGAGCACCCACCAGTGCATGTTTAAATCAAGAGAGTCTATTTTTCATAATGATTAAATCATGGAACTCGTAACTAGATATTGCTGAAGGTGAAATATAGATTTTGGGAGGGGAAAAAGCCAACCCAAGTCAAACTAGTGGGTGACAGGTCCATTGAAGGCTAACAGTGGTCAGGCTGGGTGACACCACCAAAGAACAGTTGGTTTTCCTTGTTCCTGGTTATTCTTAGCTTTTTTTCCCCCCCCAGTCATTTGTTGCTGACTACTGGGAGAGCCAGGATGCTGGGATAACTGGATATACAGCTAGCTTGGTCCAGGTAGTTTGTCTATAACCAGTAATGCCAGTGTCCCAGCCTAGTCCTGCACTTTTAGGGCTGCTGGCCTCACCACGAGCAGGTAGAGATGAGTTACGTATGCACGATGGCACTGAGCTCATACAGTCCCTCAGCAAAGAGGAAAGGATGGGTTTAGAGAAGCTTTAGCTGCTGGTTTTGCCAGCTGGGAAAGCAAAGCAGGTTGCCTGCCTTGTGATTAGTCAGTGCATCAAAGGTGACCCCTTCTAACAAGAGAAACAGCTCTGCTTTCAACTGGTTCTCAGCTTGCTCTGCAAGGAATCATCTGTAGACAGATGTTTGTACTTGTTAGTCTTCCATCGGCAGCCCAAGGATGGGCTGTGGAGGGATCTTCTAGTGGTTTGCATCTCTTTTTGATACCTTATTTGTGGTATTAAATTGCTCTTTCTGGAAGGACCACTAGAGAAGTTTTACATCTCGTCTGTATCTTCAAATGAAAGCCCATCTCTTTAAATACAGGTTTGGTTTTAAACCATTTAAATCAGAGAGGCAGTTGTACAGCGTGTTATTATAGACCAAAGCAGGCTTTATTCCTGTAGGTGATGGGTATCCCTGAAATGGTGCATTATTCTCATCTATAGAGATGAGTTTTGTTAAATCAATACATTTTATTGTTGTTCTGGGTTGCATTCACGATAGCAGGCAGTATGCTGTATGAACAATGTTCACCTGTGGAAACACTGATCATGTTCATATGAATTTGCTTTGGCAAGGGAAAAATACATCTAATATTAAAGATATTGAGATGTATTTGGTATTCTCAGCCAGTGGTGCAGATGAGCTGCAGAGCAGATGCCCTGTGCTAGTCATGTCTTTTGAGAGGAGAGCCCAGTCAGAATGAAAGCTTAGCAATGCAAAGTGGAAATTCCTGAGCACAGACATTAATATTACTTTGCATCTTACAAATTGCCTCTTCTGGAGAGTCACTGGAGTGAAAGAGAGTCTTAAGGTTGATGTAACTGATAATTTATAGAGCAAAGCACAGTCATGGAGGGCTGCTGTACTGTCAAATAAGATGAAATTAATAGTTTGACAAGAATAGCTTGGAGGAGGAGGGATAGAAGAAAGACAGAAAATAGGAAATAGGAAGCAAGCTGTTTGGGAAACTGAGAGTGAGGGGAAAAAGCTTTATAGGAGAGGGGAAGCTGGAAGGCAGAGGCATGAAAAGGGAGACTTGCACTTCAGTTTTTGCAGTGCAACAAAGCTGAGGCCAGGGAGGTGAACGCTGAGGTTGCAGCAGCCAAAGCAAGACTTACCTAAGGCATGGGATGGCATTTCTGAATGTTAGGAATGAGTCTGTATAAATAAATAAGCCAAAATGTTCCCTGTGGCCTAAAGCTATGCCCTCATAGTAGAGCTGAATTCTTGTGGGTTTACTTGTTAGAATTACATGGCCCTGTAATTACACCCTCTCTTTGAAGGGTATGTGTCATTGCATGGGTTAGAGGGGTAGGCATTATCTTTAGCTGTTCTTCCCCTTTTAGACTGCAAGAAATGTGTAATTGCAGGTTGGAGCCAGGACTTTTTATTCCCCAAAGTCTCCTGCATCCCCGAAATTCATGGTTAGTGAGTCAGTCCTTCTCTTATTCCAGCAGATGGTGCAGACTATTCAGGGACGGAGGCTCCCAGAAGCATTCTGCTCCTTCCTTTGAGGGAAGGCAGGCTTTCCGAGTGAGGAAAACGCTGCCAGGAGGATGGCCCTTGTGCTCTTTGACTGCTGTGTCTCAAAACCAGAGCACCATCCTTTCTACCCAGAAGCTGAGAGAGTTTGGAAGCAGAACCTGCTATGGATAGCAGTTGTTTTGCACAGAAATAGCTGCAGCATGGCAGCCTACGGTGAGTTAGAAGTGCTAGGATGGCTTGGTTGGGTGGAGGGTTCCCAAGATTCCTTTGTGGTAGCTTATTTCAGCTGCCTCAGAACAAGGACCCAGAGAGCTGTGCCCACAAGCGAAGCTGTAACAGGACATTGCCTTTTGCCAAAACCAGGGCAAAAGCAGTGACATTCAGCTACAGGCATCAAAATCTGCCCCTCTTTCCCCTGGAAGCTGTCCCAGCCATCCATAGCATTGTGTTGTGGAGTCAGGAGTATCCTATTGGAAGAACAAATTACAGATAGCAGATGTCAGATCAGCAGCTTTAAACCTCCTAGTAGATAACAGTAATGGTCAGGTTTTGCCCAAGAGAAAGGTTAAGGACTGTCACATCCCTGCTTATCACCACATTGCTGCCCACAGGCAGAATACCCTCCTGCCACTGAGCTCATCCCTAATTCAAGGAATTCTGCCCATTTCACAAAGCCAAAGCTTTTTGGTCTCAGTCCTTGGACAGTGTTTATGGATGAGCCATTTCACCTCACAGAACCTGTTGTCCTCTGTGATGAGGTGTAGCAAAAGGCAGATCCCTTGCAAGAGCCCCTCCTGTCTTTCCAAATAGGACCTTTTTCCTCCCAGTCTTTGCAACTATCCAAGTTGTGTGCCTTTTTCCTTTCTCTGTTGGGTCTTACAATGTAACACCTTAAGCAAATATATTCTGCTTTACTCTTTATTATTCTGCCAACATAAAAATTACTAAAAAACACTCTATAAAATATGTCTTTCAAAATCTAGCATTACCCAAGAACCTAGAGTTTCCCAGGAAAAGGGCTGCAGATAAGGATCCAAAGAGATTTCCCACTGCAGACCCTCCTCCATCAGATCCCAATAGCCAAGGAGTGGGAAAAGGGAATCTTTGAGATGAGCTTGTGCCTGGAAGTGGCTGTGGTGCATCCTAGAGAAGACAACTGCTTCCTAGTCCAGGGGATCTATAGGTTGTTTCTAGGTGGGTACAGATGGTTTTCAGAGGAACACTTGGAAGTAGACATGTTCCCAGGAACTGCAGAAGGAAGAGCCATATGAGTATCCCTGGCTGTTGTCCAGGCTGCCAGATGCTAATGATGATTCCAGGCTACAGGGGACTCTAATAAGAGCTTAATAAAGACTCTAAATAAGAGTCTGGGGACAAGGAAATCTCCCTTCGAGGACTGAGAGCCCTGGAAGGGAAATCCAGGCAGAAGAAGCTTAGAGGGGAACCCCAGCCTGGAGAAGGCTGGAATGGGCTATCCCAGGACTGGTCTTTAGGGATCTGTAAAGGAAAACAGCAAGGGGTGGCCTCCTGTGGCCTCAGAGGGAGGTCTCCAAGGACAGGAGGCCTCTCTTAGTTGGTCCAAAGGGTCAGGTAGCAGTCCCAGAACACTTAAGGCTCTGCTCCTCTCTTATTTGGGCATGGGGTACTCATTGACATCCTTTGCTTCATGAGAGTCCAGTGGCTCTTTGAGCTGGGGAGCAGCATTGGGGTTTGGGTTCCGGACACTGCCTATAAAGAGTGGGATGCCTGTTTCATCTGCAAAGATAATGAAGACAAAGGGCCGGTCGAGGCTGAAGGCAGAGACTGAGCGTGACATAGCGACGCTGGTCACAGCAGATGCTTCCACCCCGTCTTCTTTAAGCTCCAGGGTGGACTGATGCTGTATGCTGGATACAAAGAGAGGCTCCTCTGTGATCTTCTGCAGATCTGGGCTTGTAAACAGCTCCTGGAGGCCTACAGAGAAATGAGACTAAGTTAACCTTAGTTAACCCAGTTGATGCCACCAGCTCTGGCCGAAGGAGGCAATTCCCTCATCTTGCTATATGTGTTGTCCACCATGGAGGACTGAAGAACTGGCAGGCAACAGAAACAAGAGCTGCAATCCAGCCAGTCCTTCTCTGTGTGAAGAGCTGAGGGTGCCAGAACTGGAACGGTAGTGTAAGAACTTAAAGTCATCCTTTAAAAGCAGCAGCAAGGCTGAAGGCTCTTTCTTGCTAGGCTGGAAACACTTTTATAGGTATTATTTTTTAAGCAATTCTGCAAAAGAAAATGAAATCTTAATTTCTTCTCATCTGGAAATGCAGGTCATGGTGTTCTGTTTCAGTAAGGGTCATCTGCATTCTCTCTGGTGGCAATTTTTATGTCCTGGACACTGTGTTAAATGTCAAAGTAAGAGATAAAAGTTGACACGCAGGAGGAAGTTGGTCTTGGCTACAAATAGGGGAATAGGAAGAACTCGTAAAGGTTGGGAGGAACTGTGAATGCTGCTTTCTCTATAGTATCATCTCGTTGGAGCCAAACATTTGGTGCTAGGCAAGCAAAGAGTAAGGAGGAGGAGAGGAATAGGAGATGGAAGAGTTTGGATGTTATCTGGAGCAAGCTGTGAGGCACAGCTTTAGAAACAAGGATGGCAGGTTTGGGTGTCAGCGAACAGATGCCATATAGATTGATCAGCTTCACTTATTCCATGCAAATCCTTACCCATTTGACTGAGAACCCTGTTGAGTTCCAGGTGGTGATCCAGTTTCATTTTGGGGATCTTCACTGCAGTGGGTACCTCTGTGGGGAAAAGCTTGCATAGTTGTCCGTAAGGGAATTTCTCTAGCACATGAGAGGTATTCCAAGTATACTGGTTTGGTACAATGACCACAAAACTCATGTTACTCTTAAAGGGAAACTTGGCCACCTGGAAATAAAACCAACCAGGAGAATTAGGGAAGAGAAAGGCAAGTCTAGAAAGTGATGCTTTTAATATAGCCTTTTTCCAATTGGCCTACAGAGCCAGTCTAGCTATTGGATGAGAACAGCCTGTTGGGAAGGAGGAATCTGGACAAAGTTTACTGGAATAACAGCATTAGATTTTAGTATTTAGCCACTGACTGGTAGAGGTTGAACACATGGCAGAGTGGAAGCCCTCATGCACAAACACTGTACCCACTCTGGCAGTAGCTGTGTTCTGAAGGGCTCCAACAGGACATTGTCTGAGGGAATTCCGTCCTGTATTTCCTCATTTATCTTTAAGTTTTAAACTCCATTAATTCCCACTTACTGGGGATATCTCTCTATCTATCTCTCGATCTATCTCTTTATTTTTCCTATAGACTGAGAGTGAAGGTTCAACATTCTTGCTAGGACAAAGGATGCTTATTAAGTTTTTGTGTGTTATGCCCATTAAGAGACATTTGGGGTTTGGGGAGAGAGCATTTGCAGTCAGTAAAATACCAGAGCAAGAGGAAATTCCAATCAAAACTTGTGCTCCTAATGGAGCCCGACCTGGATGTCCTGGGACTCCAGTGTAAACCAGCTCAGGGAGTACTTCTGGGCTTTCATCATCTCAACTGGGACCACAAACTCATTGTCAAGGTGGAACACATCTGGGCCAGTGAAGCTGGGATCAAACTTATTCCTCCAGAACCCTATCAAAATAGAAGTTTAGAAATCAACAGTTAAATTTGGGTAGGAAAACAGAAACTGCCTCTCTGCCACCCCTCCTATCATGAGTTTTCCAACAAGGCAGATTAGTGACCAGGAAAGTAGAAATACAGTGAAGAGAGCTGTGAAATACAGTACCAAGGGCTGGAAAAGCCCTAACAGCAGGAAGCTCTTATCTTCCAGAGAGGGACTATGGAATAACACAAAGAACAGGGATTAATCCTCATGCCTCAGCGTGGGAGATTACTGAAGGCTGTGAAGATAAAGTAAAGGATGTTTGTGCTTTGAAAAATGAAGAGCCTTTGTGCTGTGCAGGGTGAAAGAGTGTTCCAAGACCAAGCTGAAAGATTCACAGATTTACACTGGGAGCAAGTGCTTGGTCTGTGTTTCAATGCAGAACCCTCAGGGAATTAAAAAGGGGAAGATGTGCCTGAGCACTGTGCTTTAGTTAGAAAGAAATCCACAAGAGCTGCCTCTGAGCTCTGTGGTTGGCATAGAGTGCATTGCATTTGCTGTGGCTGACATGAGCAGGGATGTGCTGCTGTCTGGGATCCTGAACAAGGAGGCAAAACCACAGGTTTCACCTCCTGCATTCTGGCTCTGCTGTCAGGTGGCATTTTTAGCACATGTGAAGCAGTTGGGAATCGTTGCTGTAAAGAAATCCAAGCAAGAGGAACAGCAGATGTACAAGAACAGAACAAGCAGATTGGCTAGCAGGAAGCAATGGAAAGAGATGCCATTCAAGCACAGTGCTTGTAGAAAACTGGCACATTTCTAACTACTCCTCTTGAGAAGTGAGGCCTCACCGTGGAAATGGATGGCGTTGAGCAAGAGCATCACTGTGTTTTCAGGGAGTTGCTGTAGGAAGGTGGGTATTTGCCCATGAGTTGCTTCCTTTACCCACTTATTTATGGCTGTGAGGTCATCTTCATTGATCCCAGAAAGGGTCATGGGCTTTGCTCCATAGAATTTCTCTGAATCCTCCAGGAACTTCTCTTTCACCTCAAATCCTGGCAGAAGGGAAGAATTCCACATGAAGTTATCAGCCAGTGGTGTGACACTCTCCAGGAGGAGCGCTTAGGGATGATTCCCAGTATGACAGTGTGCTTCCTCTGTCATGGAGCAGTTTATCCCATGCCAATAGGACCCCTCCTCTCACCTTTCTGCAGGTACAGACGGGATGCAAGGCTGAGGGTGGATTCCGTGAGCCTCCTCCGAAGGGTGCCCAACATGTGGTGGACACAGGGCACCGACTGCAGGTGCATCACCTCCAGCAGGTGCTTCTCTGTCTGATTTGCTGCTCCTAAAAAGCAAAGTCAGATTCCTGTTAGGTCATGCCCATGTAGTGGAAAACAGGGATCTAGCTTCCCACTGTTAGAAACAGCCTGTGCCTTACAAAAGAGGCTGGAGAAACCTAAACGTAGGAGCCTCAGCAGGGCCGCAAAGGGCAATTTCAATTGTAATTGTGCCTAATTAAAGCTGCAAGAGTAGGATTAAGTGGAAGGTGCTGTATTTAATCTTTGCATTTTACACATTGGTTCCTAGGAGGGGGTACGGGAAATGGTGCTTTTGTAACTAACAAGTTACCCAGTGCCAAGTGAGACAAGGCGAGGGCGATGCTGAGGGGTGAGAGGATCACATTGGTCCTGTTGGACTCCAGCTGGACTTCTCTCAAGAGATCAATGCTGAATCTCATCAAGCCATCTGCTAGCCTCTGGCTCCTCTTCCAAGTCATCTCGCAGCTTTTATCTTCACTCTCTCCCTCTTCTGAAGAAGAGGAAATCTCCCCAGATGGTTGCTGTTCAGAACAGCCCACAGCCCCAGCTATGGCTTCATCTTCTGCGTTCCAGTCATTCTTCATGCCTGGTGAGTTGGTGGTGAAGGGTAGCATGGGTCCATCAGTCTCCTGGAAGGTGTCATAGGTGAAGTCTGCCAGGTCTGTGTTCAGCACCCCCCCTGCTCCCAGCAGAGCAGACTGTTCAACTCCAGCGTGTTTCACATCCTGGGGAGAAACAAGAAGGATAGTGCTGGGAAAGCTGGAGCAGGGCAATACCATCCCTCATGGGCTTTACTGCACACCTAAGTGGGTCCAGAAAACTCCAGCTCCTCTGCTCTGATGGTGCCTTTGCTTCAGTTTGCTTTTTAACCTTGAGGTTAAAAGCACTTCAATGAGGTTGGAACAGAGAGGGTTTTGTATCGGGTGAGAATGGACCAGGTGAGGGTCTTGCAGTGGTTCTCTGCTTGCTCCCAGGTGAATGAGCCCCACAGGCATGGTTTGAGGGCAAGAACCATGACCTGCTCAGCACATGTCCTTTGCCTTCACCTTTCATAGATCCATCATCCTCAACCTTGATTTCACCTCCTCCTCTCACACATTTTAGCACTCGTGCATCGGTCAGCACCTCTACTGTTGTCACAGCCTTGATCCACGCTGGCTCAAATCCTCCTCCAGGCATCTGTCTTGACTTGTCTGTTCCATCCCATCCCTCTTCTTTCCAAATTTCCTCATTTTACAGCTTTCTAAGCTGTAGCCTATAGCACTGACACCACTGTCCTCACATTGGCATGGTCTGAAACACATGTTTTTTCCCTCAGATCTCTGTTCCCACACACATCCGGTAACATTCCTCTGCTGCACTGTCAGAGCCAGGCTGGATGGGTAGCATCAGCTCCAGGTCTTTCTCCCTATCACCCTCATAGCTAGTTGTTTTCCTCATCTTCTCTTATCAATCAGAACTTAAACAATCCACTTGCCAGTCCCTGTACACACCAGCTACTGATTACTCCATACGCTTCCAGCATAAAGGAGCACAGCACTGGCAGCAGCAGGGAGGGAAGCCTGCAGGTGGATGGACTTTCCCATTGCACTGGCACTGTTAGATTGCACTGCCTGGGCTCTTCCTATCTCAGGAAAACCATTGCAAATACCACAGTGTAACTCCAGTCCCCTCGGGTGGAACCAGTCATTGCTTACCTTCAGGTCCCCATCCTTGTCTAGGAAGAGACGCTTTTGCTCAATGGCTTGTACTGAGGAGAACTGTAGGGGAGGGAAAAACACACAACAAAGAAACAAAGTCATGTCCTGGATAATTTCTTCGGAATTTCCTGAGTCGAGTCTTCCCTGCTCCCATTCCTAACACATTCCCATGGGGGCAGGTCAGGGGCTGGCACCAGTGTGGCTGCAGCACGGGCACGGCTTCAGGATGCAGACCCCGATGCAGTGGGGTTCACAGTGCAGATGTGGAAGTGAGCAAGAGCTGGGAGAGGCTGCAAATAGTGGATGTGTTTGGGAAGGGACCAGGCCAGAAGGGTACAAAATAATGTGTCCCCTAGAGAGTGAGCAGTGCAGTTTTGCAATCTCAGATCTGACAGGAATCCAGATTGAAAATGGGGGCGAGAAGAAAGCTGCTATTAAACAACCTCCTGTTAACTCCTGAAGGTCATGGATACTAAATACAGTCAAAGCCAAGTTTCCAAAGAGCTTGTACAGAAATCCACTTGAATAATGAGAATAGCTATTTTAGCTGGGAAAAAGAAGATCAGAAACCTTTCTGCTCTAGGGCATGGGCTACCCCAGAGCACAGCAGCAGTGTCCTACACCAATGTGCCTTCCAGCACTTCTCACACAGAAGCATGAGCCACTATTTGCCCCATGGTCTGGTGCAGAAGACCTGCTTTGTTCCCCTTGCCCTTTGCTGGCCAGAGCCCCCCACCATCACAACTTACCCTCAGGTGGCTGTGCAGAGCAGACAGGCACAGCAGCCACGGACCCCAGAGGAACACCATGTTTCTGGATCAGAAGGACCAGCCGAGAGAGGAGTTCTTTCCAGCTGCCTGGCAGCAGCAAGCTGAGCCTGTCCAGGTCTACAGGGAGAAAACGAACAACCTGGCCAAACAGGTTGGCTCAGGAGCTTGCAGAAAGCAATAGGGAGATGAACAATGCTGCAAAGAAACAACACAGGGCTCCTGGGTCCAACGCCAAGGCAGGGAAATCAGAGAGGAACAGGGACCCGCACGGCAGCAGAGCTGGAACTGCAGCCAGGCTCCTCTCCATGACACTCTCCTGCTTGGATCCTGCATTTCTGACCCCATCGCCCTCATTCCTCTGCATTGAAAATGGTATTTCCCTAATCAGCCCTGCACACACTGTGCCTTTGGAAGAGGATGAGAGCCTCTGCTCCTTTCCCATGCAGACCATGGAGGTACAGGCACAGCATCCTCGGCTCTTGGGAGAAGGGACACTATCCTGCCTCAGTGGGGCTGCGATCACGCAGCAAGTGCTGTCTGGGAGGGACTTTGCACATAGAAATTGCAATAGCAGAGCAGTTTCTGAGCAGTATGTGCTGGAATAGAGAGTCCTCCCCTTCCCAGCACTCGCCTTCCCTCTTGGCTGGCAAACCACAGCCTCTCCCACCCCTGTGCTCTGGTTCCAGTGTGGGACACTGGGAGCAGGGCTTCCAGGGCCATGGATAAATCCTTCCCATTCCCTGGCCGCTGCTTCACCCGTTCCAACAGAAATAACAGATCTTCTTCTTGCCATAAAGTCTCCATCCCACAGCTCAGCTCTCGGCACAGATGACATACACTTTATCCCTAGGGCTGCTTTCCTCTCCCCAGGCAGTCCTTGCTTTCACCCAAAACTGCTGGGCTGTGGCCCCAGTTTCCACGTGGAAGAAGCCAAACTTGAGGCCATTTCATTCCATTCTTCTTTCACCCCAAATCTTGCACCCATATAATACCCCAAATACCCCTTTCCTCCCTGGTGTCCCTATCCTTCATCACTGTGCCCATTTCACCCCCCTTTCCCAGAGGAGCTCATTGGAGAAACCCCCATTTACTGTCAAATCCATGTTCATTTGCCCCTTACCTGAGGTCCACGTTGGAGCTGGCACCTGCCTTAGTGTGGCTGGTGGCTCTGCATGAGGCAGCTTGTCCAGCTCATCCCTCCTCCCCACCAGTGACCTTCGGCACCAGCCCCTGTTTGAGGCAAATATTGACCCACAGCATCCGGTTAAACATTGGTTTGGGGGAATAGGAGTGGATTTATGGTGCATTTGGAGATGGGGAGATACTTTGGGCTGCTCAAGACAGTGTTAACACGGAGTTTACCACCTCCAAAACTCCCATCAGCAGGAGTAACACGTGAAGTCAGTTGTCCCTGGTAGTGGCTCCACTTTCCATATGCTCCCTGTGCTGGGAATATGCTCTTTTATTCATAACCTTTAGTGACCACATAGGGCTTTGCATTTATTGCCACAGGGCTCTCTGGTTTTGGAAGTCTCTTTGCAGAACCCCCCAGATACTTACTTTCTGTATCCCAGCTGCTGCAGCAAGTGCACAGCCCTGGGTTTAGCAGATGGCTGATGCCCAAGGCCCTGTGGCCATGGACCAGAGCAGGAGGTGGTGATGCTCAGGATGAGCTGAGCCAAAAGCAGCTGGTACCTCCCCTGGGGCACAGCACACACCAGAGCTCTGCTGGGCTCCATATGGAGGAAGAGTCCTGGGAATGGGCAGAACTCCAGTGGTCCTGTCCCATGTGGATATGCAGAAGCCATAGTGGTACTTCCCTGCTCTCTTCACATCCTCAGTTTTAGAGGAATCACTAAGGAGCAGTGGGGAACACTAATGGGATTGCAGCACCCATTCCTTGCAGCAGTTTTGATTCCCAAACTCACCCCAGACACTGGGAAGGAGACAAGTTTGAGCTCTGCAACCAGAAACTACTCTGGGACACGCTGCTACAACATGGGGAGCTATTTCCACTTGGAAGGCAGATCCAAGTCCCCATGCAGCAGAATCCTACCTTACATCCAGGGCATCTTCACAGCATCCCTCCTCCAGCTCACCCAGGAACGCAAGAGGTGTCTGGACAGAGTCTAAGCTTTGGCTGCCAGAGGAAGAGCCGCAGCCAGCCCCACACCACACCTGGGCCCCTCCAGCACAGAGCTGCCCCACACGCCCATCTCTGCATCTCTTTCAAAGAGTTTATTAGAAGGAAGTATTTACATCTATTGCAAATGGTTAATAGGCAACACGGGACTGAGAGCTCCCCTTGGGTAGGGAGGGATAGCAAGGGCCAACTGCTCACCTCCCCACCCTCCCTAGAAGCAGAAGGCAGCCTTCCCAACCGCAGGCTCCTGACATGAACCAGCAGCTGGCTGAAAGCCCTTCCTCCTCCCAGGACAACCCACAGCAGGCTCCTCCTCTGCCCAAGATAAGAGCTTCCCACTCCCTAATACTGGCTCTGATTAGGCTGAAGGATGGATGGGAAAAGGGCTGCAATAGAAGTGAGGCAACTGCTCCTACAGCTGGGTCAAAGAACATCCCCCTCACCTTTGGGGTGGGAACAGACGGTGCTGTCCCAGAGGGAAAGTCAGAATGAGACCATACTGGATTGTGCCTCCTGGTCTTCACGCTGTAAGGGCAGGAGGGGACAAAACTGAGCACCTTTTTGCTGTCCTGTCTTCCCCAGGAGTCTGACCAGCACGAAGGAGAGGATTTCTTGAGAGCCCCAGCCAGTGTGTGGCACACAGGGCATTCCTCACCCCTCACACAACCGTGGGATGCAGCACTGCTGGGGCAGGAACCGACAAACAGGCCATCCCTCCTCTACGGCTCCAGAAGGCAAAATCCTCATGGAGGCATGTAGCTCTGGTCTCCCTAGAGGGTCATGTTCCCATCCCAAACTGTCCGTCCACAGCAGCCCATTCCTAAATGAAATGGCAAAGCAGATGGGGTTTGTGCCTTGGCTGATTTCCATTCCAGCCCTTGCCCTGGAGCCAGTAAGGCAGCAGAAGTGCTCTAGTTAACCTCTCCTCCTCCCATACAGGCTCCAACTCAGCTGGCAGAACCTAAAGTTAATAGAGTGCATCCTCTGGGCTTCACACAAAGACCACAGGAGAAGGAGATGCCCAGCACCACACAGCCCTGAAGGCAGCAGTTCCCAGGCCCAGCTAATGCTATCCTAATAGGAGTGTTCAGTGGTTTGGGAGTGGAAGTGAAGGGTAAGTGCAGATGGCAGTAGCTATACTGTTGTATTCTTGTCAAGGGGCACCTCTTACCCCTTATTAAAGGGAAGGGGAAAGCTGTGGTCCATGTTACTCTGGAGGGCAGCTCACAGTCCCCTGGGGATCAGGCACACATGGTATGGAAAGCTCCAGGCCTCTCTGCAGGGGTGACAGTGACCTACAACGCCCAGTATCTCTCCCAGCAGCAGTGGAGGTTTCTCAGTTATGGCTTTTTTTCTTTGTAGAGATAAGAGAAGGAGGTTAGAGATGCTCTCCCACTAACAGCACACCTCCCCCTGCGTCCTCTGCTCACAAACATCTCACTGCCTCCTCCATAAGGAACACCGCTGGCTTTCAGCTCTGCCACCAGCACTGTGGGACAGCCACAGGCGCCCAGGCTGGGGACAGCTATGCCAGGAGGCGTATGATGCCATTGTCTGAGCCCAGCAGGAGGTGGCATTTCGTGGGCAGCACTGCCAGGCTGGTCAGTGTACCCCGAAAGTTCTCCGAGCTCAGCTTGGTGGTGCTGATGGGCAGCGCTGAGGACTCCAGCATGGAGTAGACACCAATTTTGTTGGCCACAGTGCCAGTGACAACCTCGTTGCCATAGAGGTCAAATGCATGGATGGGTTCAGATGCAGATTTGTAGTGGTGCAAAGGTTTCTGCTCCAGCTCCTTCCACACAGTCAGGGAATGATCCGAGGAGGAGCTGATCAGCACGTTGCCCTCTGCAGCCTGCAAGAGAGGGAAGGCCAGTGAACCAACTGGTGAAGTGAAAGCTCCCAGTCTGTATCTCAACCTGCAAATGAGGTTAGGTGCCAGCAATCCAACAGTCACAGTGCAATCCCCTGGGGCAGTCCCAGCCATTTCTAAGCAACTGATGGTACAAAGCAGTATTAACAAAGCATCCGGGTGGACACTGCAAGCTACAGGACTCTGGTGGCAACCTCCTCTAGTGCTATCCTTCAGAGATGGGCTGTGCCTCTTAACAACATCGTGATACCTAAAACACAACTAATTCATCATCTGTGTAGAGATTATCATGCAGCCTTCCTCTCCATTAAACCTGCCAAGGATTTTCCTCCTCAGGAAAAGGAACTCGGAGGCCCTCTCACAGCAGAAAACCCTGCTGAGGGCAGGAGAAGCCCGGAGCTGGTTATTAGCTAGTGAGAGGGTAAACAACCCACACTGCTGAGCTTTGTTTAACCTGTGCTTGGGTCGAGGACACTGGAGCCCCAGCCCTGCTCCCTGAGGGTGGGTAAATATGGACAAGAGTTATTCATTAGAGTGACACTCTCCCAGGGGAGCAGAGAGCCCTGCGGAGAAAGCAACACATCTGCTGCTTCACAGGAGATGCAGCTCCTCTCTGCCCCTGCTGCAGACACCTGGGAGGGCTGATCTCCGCTCAGCACAGGTTGGAACACGAGGAGGCTGCTCACAGCACTAACCACGGGGGAGAAGAGCTTAAGCAGCCTCTTAGGGACACAGCAATGATGGAAGAACCCCCAGAGGACGGAGCAGACAAGCCCTCCCAAGCAGCACATGCCAGAAGGATGCTCCAGGCAGCCTCAGAGGATCGATGGCGACCACAAAGCAGCCCCTGATCGCAGCTCTCACCTTGATCTGCAGGATGTCCCCTTCATGGGCAGGCCAGCCCCGCATGATGAGTCCTGTCCTGGTGTCCAGCAGCACGATGAAGCCAGAGGAGAATCCAGCCATAACGCTGCGCCCGTTGGGACTGACAGCCAAGCAGCGGATGAGCCCGGCGCTCACCCCGCT